AATTGTATAACAAGGCATTTTGGTGGTAAAAGATCTCATTTAGGATTTCTTGCGGTCCAAAGGCTTTCTTTAAAAATCTTCCGAGGTTTTCACTGATCTTATTTGTGGCTCACTATGTATAATTTATCTGTTGCTATTCTTATTATGTTATTCTACTGTTGTATTTCTTTCAATATTTTTAATGTAAAACTTTTTGTTAGGGCTTGCCTTACAAGACAAATTAAACAGTTTAAAAATCCCATAAAGAAACAAGGCAAAACAATGGGAAACAGCCACTGAAAAAAACCAAAGCTGCTGATCAAAACCTCAGCTCAGCAGGGTGATGGAAAATTTGCAACCCAAAGGCATGCTGTAACAACCAAAGCCAGGCTGAATACCAAAAGATAAAGGGACTAGTAATTGATCACAGGGCTGAGCTTTTAAGTAAAATAAATGGGAAAAGACACAATAAAGAGTAAAACTGCATTGGCTAAAGTACCCTTAGAGATTTATGCAAATACAGCATAACATCTTTATTTAGATCAGCCACATCCCAATTTCAGAATAGGCATAATCAAAGAGGAAGAGGAGGAGATCTTCTACAATTTTATTGCCACAGCTGAAAAAACTTTCAGAGATTTCCAGATCTCTTGACCAACAGTAGTTCTGCAGTTCCTCGATTCAGTTTAGTAGGTTTGTACCCATCAACTTCTGTACCATCTCTGGACACTTATTGGATGTTGACAATCAGAACACCCAAGTTTCATTCACAAACTGGTTACATACCGACCCAAGTTTCTGGGTCATCTTACTCTGTTTCATGCAAGCTGGGTCAGCGATACAGTGCCCATGAATAACATGCTATCCTTTTCATGCCCACCAAGGACTCCACAACAAAGTTTTATTTCAGGCATCAAATCTGTCTTCTGACCTCGTACTCTTTGTTTCCTCTCCCAAGCATGCTTTTAGGCACCCTATGGGCCAGTGTGAATGTGAGTGTAAGTGTGAGTGAGGTACATGTCATTTAACAAGAGACAGCACTGTGGGTTCAAGGGAGTGGGTTGGAGTTTGAGGGCTCAGATTCTATTTCTGATGTGTATTCAATTCTTGACTAATGGCCAATTTTCTTGTCTCTCGATATTGAGTAAAATCAATGCTTTGCCACTAGCCACACTTATCACAACATCCCATTTCTAACAGCTTGGCAATCAGCAAGCATTTTTGTGACACCCTTCCCACAGCATTCCTCAGATACAGGAGAGCCCAGGCAAATACCCTGGCTGTACTGGTGTTTGGGCACTCTGCAACTGTGGGTTCTGATGCCAGTTTTTAGAGCACTGTATTTTTAATTGTATTTTAATTGTTCTACCTTTTAATCTTTTTTCTGTATTAACTTGTTGTAAGCCGCCCAGAGGCCTTTGGTTAGTGTGGGTGGCATATAAGTTAAACAAACAAACAAACAAATAAATTTAGTAGTTTTGGAATGGAAAGGTGGTTTGCCCCATTCTCTGCACCCAATTAATTTCCTCCCTCGCTTACCTTGTTCTAGCAGCAGTGGAATTGAGAGTCCTGGTAGTTGTTCTGGAGCAGAGAACCTGTAAATTTCTGAGAAGACAAGTGTTATACGTCTGTCCTCTGTTTCTTTTTTGGTCTTCCCAGCTTTTAGTTGTTGTTTAATTGTATGAAGTGCTTTCTGAAGTTGCAAAAACCACAGACAGAAACGACAGAACAAAACCATCTGAAATTATCTGATAAAATCTGGTAATTCAAAATCCGAAAATCCAGACAGAACTTCAGCAAGAAAGAATTTCAGAAGTATTCTTTATTTCCCCCCGTTGTGCATGGATCAAGGAAAATCCCAACGGCTAATCTTCAGAAAAGAACTTCTATCCTGAGTAGAGACTTGACATTGAAGTTTCATACTTTCTGCAGGTTATGAACTTTTTGACAAGACATCTTAGTGTTTTCCTCAGTAGCAGCAAGTAGTGGTAGTTCAGTGAAAGTCTCTCCTTTACTTACAAAATTCCTTGTTGTCATGAGATTCACAAGCTAGCCTAAGAAGCTTGGGTCATGGGTTTTCATGGAAAAACTGACTGGCATTGCAAGACACAATCAAGTCCATATTCCAATGGGAAACATATAAAACTGGATCTGCCTGCATATATCAATGCAAGGATGGGGTTGCAAGATAGATTTTTCTCTTTCTTTCACACTTCCTTAAGCATGTAGTTCCTGTTGGAACTCAGAGGAGGGATTTTATTCCTTTAAAAGAATTCAACACTTCAGGGATTAACACTTATCTCATATCTGTTTCCACTAGAGTACAGACTTTCTAAGCCTAAAATCCTATATGAATCTATGTGAGACTGAACTTACCCATTAAAGTTACTTATGCATTATGTTTATTGCTTTGTTCACATCCCCAGCCTAGCTCTATTATTGCCAAAAATATTTCCAGTACAAAAAGCAGGAAATGTCTTAATGTGAACCCTACTGTTCCCAAATCTTTCTTAGCTCTCATATAAAATTGGTATTTTTGCCTTATGTGGGGGAGGAGAGTCACATTTGAAAGACTGGCATATTTTTGCATGATGGAATTCAGTTAGGGCATCTCAAAATAAAGCAAATGGTAATAATATAAGCACACCAGCTACTAACTCTCTGTCCTTTAGGAACATAGGTTCCCGATACTTACTTAGAATTAGTTCAGGATGGGGGGAAAAGTAGTGAAATATACGAACACCCACTGTGTCTCTGAGATTAGTGCAATGTGTGGGCATCTCAGGTGCAACTGCGGTAGCTAAATCAAAGAGGGGCAGATTGAGAGTATTGGAGGTTTGGGTGCAAGTTCTTTTGTTACCTTTTTTTCAAAGCAACAGTGGCAATATCCATACAATGTTAGATGAACAAACCATTTACAGAAAGCCATTTCCCCAAGACGTTAAAACAACAAAAAATCTCCACTCCATTAAGGTCCCTTTAATGTACTTTTGATGAGCTTGCCTTCTGGCAAGCTTCCTCTCAGTGAATTTCTTTCCAGAGTTATGTTTACCAAGAGTGATAATATTCTCTGCCTGTGCTGTTTGGGCCACTGTGTTTAGTTTTCTTTAAATCTTGTACAGTCCCCTTGTAATCTTCCAGCAAATAATTGTACAGTTGTTTCCATGTAATGATGCCGAGGATTGGTTTGAAGGTTTGGGTCCATCCATCCAGTGGTTTAAAACTGACAATCTAACTGCTTAAATATCATATTATATCACTTCCACACAGCTTTCATCTTTAGTTTAGTTGCGGCCAGGGGCTGAACCTCTTCTGTACCCAACAGTCATCTTCTTCATAACCTCTAACATTCTCAAGCTTTAGCTGTCCATACCGTTTGTTTGTATACTAAGAAATCTGATCCAAATTAAGTGTTATAAACTACCACATGCCCTTTTTCAGTGGTTAAACACTGTCACTTTTCTGGTATGCTGGGAAAAGATAAACTATGCCAATCATGATGGCCTTGGGTTTCTCTTGTTTCTCCTTCACTTTCACTTGATACGTATCCAACATGTTTTCTCATCACCCACTTCCTTAGATAATCAGCTTCCCTTCATTCCTCCCAGTTCTCAACTTCCTTCCTCTTCCAGATGGCCTTCAATATGTTCATCCTTTTCTTCTCATTTAGCTCCTAACTTAACTTCCAGTATTTCTTTTTCATGTGCTCTTACCCTGCTTGAACAAGCACTCCTCTAGCAAAGGGAGGCTTCTTGATATCAAAGCACAATAATTTTATCTTTGTTAATTTTACACACACACACACACACACACTTTTGTTAATTTTACCCTACACACACACACACACACACACACTTCTACAATTTTTATTTGTCCAGTTCTATTCAAACCAACTGGCTGTACAGAACTCTGTTTTAAATCTTAGATTTTAAGTCTTAGATTCTGCTCACCACCAGAGGGCTAGCTTCCACTCCTTTTCTATCCAAGGTCTTCCCTTGAAGGGCATGTTATTTCCAACAATATTTGTTTCTATCAATATTTCTTTTAAGCAGACACTGGTAATTTCCCATCCATGCACAGCTAAAATTGGTCAGAAGCTGTTAGCACAACAAAGTCTCTATACCTGGGGTTGTCTATTCTCTAAATATTAATCACTACAGTCTTGTGAAGCCATGCTGTCCTGCCTCTCTAAGTATCACTACTCTCATGGGAAGGAGGTAGCCCTGATTCTGATTCTTCTGCACAGCCTCCTTCCTCTGAAATGGGTTTTGAGTCCTTATTTCCAAGGGTTCTGTTTCATCTTGGATCCTGCTGTCCATTAAGCCTTGGTGGATTTTCTGCTTGGGAGCTCTATATCCTCACTGAACAAAGATTCCTCTAGCAGGAGGTGGTCCTGTCAGTCTAACAATCCCACAAAGACATACTGTATTTCTTTGCTGGCTCAGATGGCAGACATGCTGGCTCATTTGTGAAAAGTGCAGCCCATGTACGCAGCATCTCCAACACACAAGCAGTCCCGTATCAGCCACTATTTAAACCAATGCATCTTCGTGTAAAGGAGCATGAAATCAGTATTACAATTGTCTGCACTTGGTTGTATCACAGAACACTCTTATTAGGGAATAAAGCCAATATTGTAAACAGTGTTGTTTCCCAGACTCTTAAGGTGATACCAATATGCTAAACACATTTCATTAGACTATGAAGTACATAAGTAAAAAAATTATACAAAAAAGATTCTGAAAGCAGAATTAGTAAACTCATTTGCCATTTGATCATCATATAAAAGTGTTCCAAGACTTTTTCTTTCTCAGCTATTTCTCCCCTTACATGGAATGTTGACAGAAAAGGCTATGGTAAGAGTTATATATTACAAATGTTAAAAGGACTAAATAACATTTTTATGAGATAATAAGGCCAAGGAGGGCAATATTGAGAATAGCATTTTATTTTTAAATTGAAGACTTCTTTTTTTAAGCACTGGACTCTAAATAATGAATGAATGGACAAGTACAGGATACCTTTGGAAGAAGCTGAATTGCCTGTAGAATTCTTTGTCTGTGGCCAGAATTAAGAATTCCAATTTCCAAGAGATCCTGATCCTCCATAACATTGCTTCCCTAAAAGAAATAGAAAAAGAGATTGGCAAGCATTTTTAATAGTTTTTAAAATATTTTAATGAAGTCCCACTAATTTCAAGTGAAATAACCAGAATTGAGTATAACTGATTCTGGATCCAAAGCTATAATTATACTTATGTTCAGGTACAGAAAATATCACTACTATAGTACCAGCAATTATTTAAAATATGTCAGTTATTCACACATCTCTCAAGAAAGAAAGCAGGGGAATGCAATAGCAAAACTGAATTCCTGTAAAGTTTAAGTTTAAGATTCATAGTTCCTTTTTTTAAAAAAGAATTCAGTATCAAACTAAAGTTACATTTGTCTTTGATCCTATATTGAATGAATATGGAATGTATGTATACTCTGACCAACCCACTTTTGGGACACCGTATTTCCCCCCTACAAGCCCCAGGAGCACTTTAAATATGTTGTGACCTGTGCTGGTTTCTAAGGGGGTCATCCAGACCAGCCTCTGAATTCCATTATTTGAGGTGCCTTCACTTGTCACCTAAAGATGCCCACAGGAGTTTACCACCACTGCCTTGTACTCTCTGTGAATCTCTGCCTGTATACAACAGCTACACCCTCCAATCTGGTCAATATAGGCAAGAAGAAGAAGAAGAAGAAGAAGAAGAAGAAGAAGAAGAAGAAGAAGAAGAAGAAGAAGAAGAAGAAGAAGAAGAAGAAGAAGAAGAAGAAGAAGAAGAAGAAGAAGAAGAAGAAGAGGGAGGAGTCTGCCATCTTTTATTCAGAATATCAGTCAGGTGAGTAAAGGCCAAAACAAGCCAAAAGTTCCTATATTGTGCCAAAGCAGCTAGCTCACACTAGCACTGGATCTACAGTATTCACAGGTAAGAGCCTCAAACACAATAAAGAGAAGAAGGCATTGGTATGGGGAGGTCTTTTATAAGCCGACAGCTCCCACTGACCCTTGCAAGTGACCAGCTGCAGCAAGTATACAGCAAGACACTGAGGCTGAGGGGACAAGGTCACAGAGGACTCCTGCTTCTGCCCAAGGATCTGCACTCTGGGAAGCCCCACTGAAGGGTAGGGTGATTTAAACTGTTGATCAATAAATATGTGGCACCAGTAAAACATGTCACCTGTGTCTTTCCTTTTTATTCTGGGTAGTGGCAGGGCAATATCTATTTGAAGAATTATTGAGCGAAGGGGAGCTGACAGGAGGATTCTTTGGGGATAAGTAGGGAAAAGGAGGTTGGTGGGAATGAGAAGAGGGAAGATAGAAATCTTCTGCTGGTTTGGATTTTGATTCGAACTGGAGAAAGTTTGGTGTAAAGGGACTTAAAAGCTAATCTCTCCTTTGAGGCAGCCTTTAAAAAAACACCAGAAGTTCATTTTTGAGCCAGCTTTAGGGGGAAAAAAAGACATGACCATCAGATGTAGTAAAAGGATATAAATTGGAGGTAGATGGAATATAAATCCATTGTTGATTTCTTGTAGGATAGAAAATGGAGTTGGGCTTTCAATAACTACCCCTCCCCTTGAAAAAAAAAAAAGAAGGTTCGTTCTATGAAATACTGATGTGGTTTTAAGAAATGTCTGACTTTTATGCAAGGAATGGAGAACACATTTCCATTTACACCAGAAAGGTTCTTGAGAACTGATGAGAAATAATACTTCCCAAATATATATTTGCAGTAATGCAGCTCACTTCTCTTTATAATGATTAAAATATAGAATATCTATCTCCTTCCAAAGCACAATGATTTTTTCGTCTCTGGGTATTTCCTCCTATTTGAGTAGATTTTTCATTAACTTTGAAAAGGCTTTTTTTCTTCAGGATACCAGATGGGCTGTTATGCTGTGATGACACTTTCAGATAAAAATGTCGCTTTCCCCCAATAAACCTATTAAAATTGTAGTTTCAGATATTCTGACATCACCATCTTTATCATAGCAATTTCAGCTCTACATGGCTTCTCAAAAAGGAGAAGTCATATTAGACTGATTTCTTCCATCTTTGGAACACTGGTGAACCATCTTTGTAGAATAGCAGTGATGTCTGAGGGTAGATTTTGGTAGTGTGAGTTGCTTGCCCAGGGCCTGGACTGGTTGTAGAGGAGCATGGGCAACTAACTATATTTATATTATTTTCAGTCATTTTGAACTTAGGCAGAAAAAATAGGTAGAGATATGACTACACAAAAGAATAGATTTGTTTGCAATAAGCATGAGATTTTTGTTCACACTGTAATTTTTCCCCACATATTTTGTTACAGTAAACAGGATTGATATGCTTCATCATATGATGATAAACTTTTCATTTACTATCTAGCAAGTTTTTCTGCTTTCATATGATCTAGGCACACATTATTATGGTTAGCTAGCCAGATTATAAACTCACAAGAAGTGACTGAAATAACTGGGATGACTAAACACATGCTCTAGCAAAAAAAAAACTGCACCTGGAATATTTCGAACATATTTGAAGGGCCAGTTCAATGTGCAATTTTTTTTAAAAAAAGGGGGGGGTAATCAAATAAAGAAGAACCACTATTGAATAAAACCAGCTAAAATCTCTTTACGTTTCAGTTATCAATACTTTCAAGTTGATAATTCCTTAAATGTATCAAATTAGAGAAACCATAAAAATAATAATAGCATTTATGAACCCATCTGAGCTTTTGATCAATTTTCTTTGGACTCAAGATGCTAGTACTTCATCCTGGTGTACACACAATGACAGAACGATTGAAACTAGTATCAATAGTTTTTAGAACCTCGACATCTGGCAGAGTGCCTTCTCCCACCCAGTTCTGCCAGAGACACTCGTTCTAGCCAGGGCAGGCGACTGAGGGGCCTAATGCCGAGGGAGGCCCGGAAGGAAAGAATGAGGAACCGGGCCTTCTCAGCAGTGGCCCCTCGCCTTTGGAACAACTTGCCCGTAGAGATCTCCCTGGCTGGGTGTCTTTAGAAGTAAACTTAAGACATGGCTATTTAGGCAAGTTTTCCCTCCTGCTGTATCTTAATATTTACATTTTAACATCTTGGATTTTTACATCTATTGGTTCTATTTTGTTGTTTTTTTAATTTTGTAATGCTGCCCAGAGTAGACCATTGGTCTGGCCAGGGTATAGATCTAATAAAATAAATAAATAAATAAAATAGAGTTAAAGTGGAGCAGCCCCCATCACCGTGTTTTCCAGGATTTTTTATAACAGCACCACACTTTATGTTCAAAGGAATTTCCTATAATCACACACTCATAATGCTCTGAAAGATAAAGGTTTCATTGCCATGGTTCATAAAGGAAATAAGCAAGAACCAGCAGGCATTTACTAAGGTGTATAAGCCAAGGAGAAAAACCCTCAGAATGCCATTGATTATATTTAATTTTTTTTATTATTTTGCAAACCCAGGAGTGTTTTGACTCTTATACCACTTTCAGGTCTTCCTCATGGGAAACTCACCTCAACTTTTTTATTTCAGTGGTTTCTCCTGACAAAGGTCCTAAAAGTAATAAAGGGCTGAGACATCATGTTCTACAAAAACAAAAGAACAGCTGACAAACTCCAAAAGGAATAACTACAAATGAGACATCATTTTTTAAATGAAACTGAAAGGCTAGAAAAGGACTATAAATATTTCGCATTGCCTATGCTCCTTAATTCTAACAGAATTACTCTAGATAAGGAAACCATCTACAGTTAAACATCTAAGGAGAGAAGGCTTGGAGTAATGAAAAAGCGCAAAAACATCACTTTGGAAAAAACACAAATACTTGATGAGCAAAAAGGGAAGGTAAAGGCAAGTTAAAATCTAATATTTGTATGTGAAGTCTGCAGCATCTCATGGACCTCAGAGAAAGGCAACACTCTTCTTTTTGAAGACATCACAGAATATTGTGAACAGCTCAGCAGAAAGCTCCAAATATGTAGAACATTTAAGAAGAACATGGCTTCAGTTATAGCTTTAAAAAAAAACCCTGGGGCTGGACTGTCGACACAGAGCTAGAATATAATCTATCATGAAATGGGAAGGAATTAAGGGACTTTCTATTGATTGGTGAATTCTGGAATTTGTAGTTCTCACTTCCTCTCACTTTTGAGACAGATATACAGTAGAAGTATGGCTATATAAGGATAATATCTGTACAAATGTATAAATGGCTCCATTTCAATGATTGTACTAGCATCAATTCAGAATGATACTTTCAAGCTGACTATTTCTGATTACAAAATCAGATTAATAAACATACCAGATGTAATACATGAGCTGTAAAATTAATTGTCTTTGAAATGTTCATTTAGGAATCTGGGGGGAAAGAGTTTGGGACCCTTGTTTTTGAATAGAAAATTTTAGAAGGTCCTTTAAAATAGTCGAAGGTAGGAAAGGGAGGGGAATGAAGTTAAACAAAGGCATGTGGGGCTAAGGAAAAATCAAATATTTAAAGTACTGTATTCTTTCCAGATGAGATATGTGGTTGCAGCGGATACCTCCTTTCTGGAGGCAACTGAAGCAGGGCTTTGAGTATCAGGCAGAGGGTGTCAGGAGATACGCTGCTGTCTCCCTCATGTGGAAATTCAAGATGCAATGGAGTGCTTTCCAAGGTTCATCAGGCATACTGACCATTATTCCATCCTTCTGATCTATGTGGAGGAAATGACATTTGCCAGATACAGCCTGTAATATGCTACTAGTGACAAGGAAGCAATTGAAGGATGGAGAAGGAATCTGCTTCACAGCTGCCCATGTAGAGATTAGCAAAAGTGTGAATCTTCCTGTCTATCTTGTCACCATTCATTTGTGCATATAAGGGCTATATTCATGCTATGATACATTAATACCATTTATTAGTAGTATACCTTTTCAGTTAAGTCATCACTGGTATAAGGGATACTGTGACTCTATTAACTGGGCTTCTTCCCCAGGTGTGATAAGAATGTTCATGGTGGCATCTCATGAGAACAGGAATTTCTACCTGACAAGGGGCTAGCTGCTTATGTTTTCTTATTATTCCCAATGTCTAATAG